AGTCTAGTACACGTTCTAGACTAACTGATTGAGTAACTTTTGGACCATCCTGTATATATATATTTGCATACTTTACATGACAGAATGAGTATGATCATTGAGTATAAACAGATATTGGCTCTTAAGATCTTATTAACGTATTAACAATAATGAGATAATGTGAGAAGTTATGAACTTTAATCTGATATGTATTTCGTCAAAGTTTGGAGGCACTTAGTTATATATGTCAAGATATTATAAATTTTTCTTCTTACATAAAAAGATAACAATTTCACTTTTTTCGTGACTTTAGGAATGAAATATACTTACACATCAGATTAATGTTATTTTAGCTGCACTTTTATATAGTACACATAAAGAAGAAATAAATAATAAAGTTTAATTTATTGTTACAACAGTTAAATAAAGTGCGAAAAATGCAAAATTCGAGTGAATTTTTTTCTCATTCATTTATTTATGACTTGATATAGTTTTTATTTCGATTCGATCTGTATTTTATTAGCTGAAAAAAATGTCGAAAACTCGCAGCATTTTCAATTACGTTACTTTCTTTTTTCAAACTTTATGAAATCATTTTATTGTTATATATAGATAGCTCCATTTTGTTTCATTAGAATCACAAGATTCTGAGGTACAAAAGTATCTTTTTAGTTTTTTCGAATTTTGTTATATTGTTGAAAAAATCGAGTTTTTCCTCATTTTATCGCAAAATCAAATAAAAGCATGAAAAATGTGCCTGTATTTAATGGTTTTTGTTAGTATGGTTTAGTTAAAAAGTCAAATGGATAGTATATTCGCAATCAATGTGAAAAACTATGTTCTAAATTTTTTTGGCTAGAAAACATTGACTTATGGGGCAGAATTTTACAAACAAAAACCTGAGGAGACGACAACTCGATTTTTCGTAGAGGAAAAAAGTTTAAAACATAGATAATTCGATGGAGTTTTTGATGTTAATTGTGAATATGCTATAGATTTTGTTTGCCCAATCTTTTTTTTTCTGTCCAATAAAATGACCTGATTGCTTTTCGAGTTTATATATAGAAAACAATATGAGGAAGAATATTTGATAAACTACTAGTACAAGAATATATTTTGTCATCTTAAATATCGTATATCATTATGTTATCATTGTGGATGATGATTAGAAGAAGAAATCTATTTAATATTGACTTATTATTTTTCTTTCAGATTCAAAAGAAAAATATGATGTTGGGAGCAGTGAAGGTAAGATTGATCTGAAAATGTTTTTAATACTTTGAGGAAGAAGTGTATTCGAAGGACAATTTTTATTCTGTATTTATATGTCTAAAGTAATCATTTGAATAGTTTCATAATGAATAGGTCCATGGTCTTTTTTTTTAAATATTCATTTTTTTAGATTAATTTTTAATGGCTTCTAACTATACAAATTCTGATTCAACAGAAAATATACCTGAAACATCATCATCAAAAACAAAAGATGATTTTCTTAATGAAATATTAATGTGTGGTATATGTTTATCTCGTATGTCATCACCATATTGCTTACCATGTGCACATTCATTTTGTCGTTCATGTTTACTTGATTATGCTCAAAATAATAATAATAATAATACATCAACATCCATTAATTTTATACTTTGTCCATATTGTAAATATCAATTTAATTTTCGTTCATTTGAACATTTTGAATCAATATTAATTATTAATCCTGTACTTAAACAACTTTGTGAACCATTAGATACATCAAAAATTAATTCTGATCAACAACAACAAAGTCAATCAAATGGACTTTATCGTGCACGATGTCATACATGTTGTTTACTTAAAATGTTAAAAATATGTAAACATTGTTATTTTATGCTTTGTGATACATGTCGACGAACACATTTATTAGATATACATCGTGAAAGTAAAATACAATTAGATTTACTTGAATCTCATTAATTTAATAAATAAAAAACGTATGGAAATGGATAAAATAACAAAAGAATATGATAATATACGTGAACGTATTGAAAATTATGTTCAAAAGTTTATAAATGAAATTGAAAAACAACGTGATCATGCATTACAAATAATAAATCAACGACAACATTTAAATGATGAAGCCTTTTGGACAGGAAATGGTTTTGATAATGGTGAAAAATTAGATTTTTTTATTTCACTTGTTCAAACAGGACAAAAAAAATTATTAGCAAAAAATATTACTGATAAAGATCTTATTGAATTATCGGATAATTTACATACAATGCCTGATGTTGATGAAAAATTAATTGAATTAATACAATTTTCACAATTAAAATTAGAATTTGATGAATTATTACCAACGAAAAAATTTATTCATCTATCAGATTTTCAAGAAATAAATAATAAAGATGACAAGTCAATTAACAATAATGAAGAAAACGATTGCATTAGTCCATAAATATGATTGTTTGTTTGTTTTTTTTATTTTATAAATGTTTTTATTGGACCTTTTTTTCTTTGAAGATTATGGAAGATATAGATTAAATAAAAATAGACTTAATTGTTGCAGTATATTTTTCTTTCAATTAAATATTTTCATAAGTGATTTCTGTATACCATTACACGGATCTCGAATGTCTAGCTGTAATTGTCGTAGCGAGGTGAGAAGATCTCTCACTATAGTAAAACCTCCCTATATCGACACATCTGAATTGTGATCACCTGTCGGTCTCCCGAACGTTTTTTGCTGGAAATGAACCTTTTGAATGTGGATACCTCTATTCTGGACTGCGGACACTTTTTTCGATCTCGTCTACACTCAATAACCTCTTGAAAGTGGATACTTTGAAAGGGTTCCTTTGATGTCCACTATAGAGAGCTTGTACTATAATGTAAACAACGATAATTTTGCAATGAAAAACTTCTTTCGGATTTCCTCAGATGAAAGAAGTTTGTAAGCAAATTGAAAATTCCATTACAGTAGTGATTAAAATGTCAGCTTCCACTAGCACAACTCAAAGCCAGTTGTTACGTTGGTTTCTTTTATTAGACATAAAGAAAGAATTCACAATAACAAAATGGATTAACAGCATTCATTATATTGTTAAAGCCAGATTTGAATCTTTTCAGAACATCGTACTCGATAAGATCGGTTAAGCAGCAATTCATGCAGTTGTCGTCGAATAAGATATGAAAAGCATGGTGTTGCCGTGAAGGTCCAACCAACAAAAGACATATCAAGTGAAACAAGTTATTGAAAATGATCGAGAAGATAACAAATATGATTAACAATACGTTCTGTACATGCAATTTGACCATGACGAGTATTTGACGAATGCCAACCGAATTCATCATGTGAATTATGAAGAGAAAATGAAAAGTGTTTCAAGTCAGGCAGTCGATTGGAGATACGTTTGCAGAAGTATTCACCATTGCGTAATGTTATGCTCTCAGCATCCATATCAAATGATTTTATCTAATAAAGAAGAAATCTTTGACTTGTTATATAATGAGTAAAATCTTTCTACTGATCCATTTTTTTTAAATAAAATGTACTTAGTTCATTTTAAAAAATATTCTCTTAAAATTAGAGATCAATAGAAAAAACAATGGGATTAGTTTTAATAAGATTTCTTTTATAAGTATAGAAATAATTACCTGTTGATTGATACGAGTTGCCAGATTGGCTGTGTCAAATAATATAGCGCGGCATAAACTACCGTTATCTTCTTTTATTTGTAGCGTATGTACATTATAAGACATTCTTAATATTGCTTCTAATTCAGCTGCACTAATAAAATAGCTACCATCAATGACAATTTTTGTTAGCAATGACCATGGAACAAATGATGACATAGGCTTTCTAGATTTACTGAGTTTATGATGAGAACTTCCGCCATTAAAACCTTCAATGAGCAGTTCATTAGCTCGTGAAAACAAACCAGTTGGATCCATAGACTTTGAAGATCTGAATAAAAAGAAAATTTTTCTTTGGATCGTTCACATACATACAAAACATGTTATACATACACTGGCAAATGTTCAGAAAAAAAGTGCGTTTGAAGCTTCGTACCATTATATGGAGAAGTGTATAAGATAAAGCAATGGTGATCACGACCAATACCCCAATTATTTCGTTCTTGAATAATCACTCTCGGCTTTTGTCGACGAAAAAAAGCAGCTTTTACGAATGAATTATAAATTTTTTTTTCCTTCAAATCTTTCTCGATATTAAAGGACAGATCGAGAGCATAAGACGCCGATGGTTTCAGACGATCAATACATGTTTGTTGAATAATATCACCGGATATATCAAACGGATCACAGGCAGATGCATATGAATTTAATTTGAGGGAAAAATGAATTAATTGATCTAATACACATGATAAAAGCACAATCGTTCGATGAAAACTCATGGTGTTCAAGCAGTTCACTCTAACACGAACTAGATTACGAAGTAGACGAGCATCAACAGCAACGGGCATTCTAAAAATTTCAATTGTTTCGATACTTATTCAAGTGATAGTATATTACTTACGAGACTATGTCAAATCCATCATCCTCGATTACCACTGGATCTGCTATACCAAGAGAAAGATTTTGAATGAAAGGTATACACGGTAGTAAGTGTTCTAAAAAACGTGATGTGTTTACACCAACAGTCAATGTATGAAGATAAGTTGTGTTGAAAACATTTGGTAGAGACATCAACGGTGTTGTTGAAGATTTTAGTAACTTTTTACAACTTATCCGACAAAAATTAAATGGAAGTCGACAGATAGTTAATGCGGGCAAACATGAACATACCTTTAATAAACATGAAAAAGAAATGTTTTAAAAGTCAATTTTCAAAGAATTTTCTTTCAAAAGGAAATTCCAATGTTCATAATGAATTCGAGTAAAATGTTCTTTCGTACTTTAGCCAGATATGCTCCTTCCATAGCTTGATAATTGAATGAATTATGTTCTGTTACATCAACAATTAAAGTATGCAATTGTTTTGTTAAATGATTACATAAAAATTTATCAAATTCATATGGTTGAATATCAATCAGTTGTACATGTCGAAGTAGCATTGTTTGATGATATTTCAAAGCTGATGAAATGAGTGACCATCCACCAACAACATGCTTGAATGTAATACGTAGTGAAACAACTCTATGTCTTACTACTTTTAAAATATTTTCACAAAAATCATTGAACGTCAATAACGACATTCTATCACCATCAATATGAATATGCCACAAAAATTGATACATAAAAATCGTTGAGAAACGTTTATTCAATGATGCCAATGATCGAAGAATATCAACAGGTGACAAATAAGCACATATTTCATAAAGAACATCTATAGATAGAAATTCAAACATAGTGACCATCATTTTCTTCATTTCTCTCATTGATTCTTTTGAGCTGCATTTATATATACGCATGAACAATGAGCCGTGTCCGTCTGCCTTCTTTGACGCGTATTATTTTTATAATGACATTCATTTATTTTATACAACTCAATATGATTGGAGAGAAAAAAAACAAACAGTATTGTATGACAGTGTTGTTTTACGTTGTATTAGAACGTTGTGTAACATTTTTTGGTTTATAAACTGCAAGTAAAGTTTAGAAACATTGGCACGTAACCACTTAAGCATTACTGTTCGATCATTATTTAAACAAGAGAAAAAAACATATGTTGAATATTCATTATTATTCTTTTCCAATGACAACCGAGAAAAATTAAAACAGGCGGGTCATTTTCTATAAAGACAGACTAGTGCCTGTATTCATTGTGCAAGCTGATGTTGGTATCGGAAAAACACAAAGATCGTTGCAATTCCAATTCAAAATAAAGTATTTATGGCTTTTATTTTCCTTCGAAATTCGTTTGTATTATATATGGTTACTATCTTCTCTTGAATTTATCTGATCGTACATGGTCGACAAATGATAAGGTATGTAATCAAATATCAAATCTTGTTTTATAGCAGAGTATTGGCGGAATCAAATCTATTTATTAATATTTTTACTTTGTTTTTCTTCTGAGTATGAAAAGAAAAAATATGAAATAAAATGTATCTACAATACTCTTTTAAAGAGAGACTTCCCATGTTGTATAGAACGGCCCGTAAACGGCCGTAAACGGTTCGAAAACGGCGAAAAGCGGTTGTCGTTACGATGATCGTTTACGAGGCACCGTAAAACGGCGAGATACGATGAGAAACGACGTCGTTTAAGATGGCCGTTTCCGTACCACCGGAAACGACTGTCTTTACGACCGCCGTTTTTCTGCCGTTTCACGGCGTTTTCACATCGCATTATAAGTGTTTCAAATTCATTGTTAAACATTGTCGAGTGATCAGCCAGCAGTAACTCTTAATGATTCTTATCTATTATTGTAAACGCATCATCTTTGAATGCTTCTGTGGAGTGTTTTTGTTTTCGAAATAGATTTCACCCCGTATTTTTTATTTTTATTTTTTTTTATTAATGCACGACTCCAGTTGATAATTTTCAAGTGTTTCATACATCAATCGACAGTTATTATTCGGACCCATACAATGATATCGCGTACATTCTTTGAATTGATTTCTACGCAATATTGTGCAATGATCAATATGATCTCTATTGTAAAGTTATCGTGAATAGTATACATTTCGTATTTTTTTCAATCGTCATTGTTTTAATAGAAAATTACCATATATGATAGATCTTATTCTTCTGTGATCTAGTTTCCCAGGGAGCCATTTATTCAAGTACAGTTCTATTATCGCTTCTATTTTTAGAAAAATAACGGCTCGTGAAGGTGGAAATGGATAATTGACGATCATGGTTACGAGTATCGTTTTTCGCCGTTTTTATACCTAATTTATTACAAACCAAAAATCATGGTGCAGATGATTCAAAGTAAGCACATATTTGCTCCAATCTTTCTAGTTTAAATATATTTTATTAGGGGTGGTGATTTCCTGTTAATTTATTTTAAATCTAAGCTTTTCCGAATTTAAATTTATATTAAATATAATTTTAAAAAGTTAAATTTATTTTAAATTAAAGCTGGATTTACATAAATGGAAATTTTTTTAAATTATTTCAATTTCATAAGTTTTTTAAACTATTAGGATTTATTTAAATTTTTGAATTTATTGAAATCCAA